AAATCTTCGTTTCAGGGCTTACTTTTTGAAGTCCCATACGCTAACAATGTCTAACATTTCGGGTTTCCGTTAATGGGTCTCCATTATGTCCCCAACTACTCCCCCCTTTTTCGTCCCTGTTTTTGCTGATATCTTTTGAAAACTACTACTCGTCTGTCTCCTTTTGCTCTTCGCGCTGTCTTCACGCAGATTGTACCGAAAGATAGTCCAACGATTTCTCTTTCGTCTTCATTTTTGGTTTCTGTGTGTTGTCGCCATCAAGATTACCAAGTATTCAGGTAGGCTTTCGGTTTGGAGTGAGCCCATTTGCTGCTTTGGGTAGAGAAAAAGTCTCTCTTTTTTTGCTCTGTTCTGAAAGCATTGATTGTGGGTTTTTTGGTTGGTTTTGTCATTTAGGTTCGTTTATCTTCTTCCTTTGTCGGTTTCGTTGAAGGGCTGCTAGTATCTTACAGGGATTGTGTTTTATAGAGTCCAGTAATAAAGGGGTTTGTTCAATGAAATTTGTTGCTCGAGCCAAAAAGTTTAGAACTTCAAGCACATGCTGGGTTTCTTGGGTTGGGATTTTCTTTTGAGGTCCTATTTTTAGGAAATGGGGTTGGTTTCATGAACTGGGTAGACTTCATGTTTGGTGAAAAATGGGGATTTCGAACTCTAAAACCCAAAGAAACGAAGCACTGCGTCTTTGCAAGGAAAGGAGGAGGTTCATCAAGCAAGCGATTGACTCAAGGTACGCTCTTGCAGCTGCTCATGTCTCTTACATTGAGTCTCTGAGAAACATTGGCGTCGCTCTCCGGAGATTCGCCGAGGCCGAAGTGTTGATAGAGTCCTCTCTGTCAACATCAGCCACTGATCTCGACAAAACGCCTTCACATTCTTCCTACCCTTCTCCGTCTCCTTCGCATGTAGGAGCTGAGGTATCTGATTCACCCTTGCAAAATGAAAGCCCCATTTCGCCGCCAGTAGCGAATATGAGCTATATGAGAATTGAAAATAGTGCTCCTGTTACTGTTACCATCAATCCGGGTACTGGTGGGTTTGTGGAGGATGATTCATTGACCATGCCAGTGCCGCCGCCACCACCACCTCCGTTTGAGGCAGGTTCTTGGGATTATTTTGACCCTAGTGATGATTGTGAGAGCTTTAGATTTTTGGGGCATAATGAAGGTGATAATTTTGAGTACATGAGAGGATGGGGAGAATTTAGAAGTCAAGGGCTTCCTCATAGTAGGCTAGAAAAGGGGAAGCAAAATTGGGCAAAGGGTAGTTTGGATGGAAATAGTGAACTTAAAGAAGGAACCTTGAGGCCAGAATTGGAGCCTAATGCCCAAGTGATTAGCACAGGAGTAGGTGATGGTATTAGTAAGACCCTTGATGGTGAATGGAGGCAACCAGATATGGGACCAAATGCCAGTGGATTGGCTGAAAATGGTGCTCTTGAACAATCAAATTCAAAGAGAGAGAAGACTGTGACAGAGAAAGACTTGCCTGCAGAAAGGGAAGATCCTTCGGAGTTCATAACTCATAGAGCTAAGGATTTTCTTTCAAGCATAAAGGATATAGAACATCGATTCTTCCGAGCCTCTGAAGCTGGCAGAGAGGTTTCCCGAATGCTTGAGTCAAACAAAATCAGGGTTGGATACTCTGAGGCCAAGGGTAATCTGTGTTTTTGCTCATGAGATGATTTAGTTCCACTAAAAATTCTAGTTGGGATTCAATTGAGTTTCATTTTTTTTTCCCCTTATGCAAGTTCCTTTTGATAAATAATTTTTGTAGGGAGATCATCTGCTACAACTATGTTGGCAGCTTGCCGGCATGTTTGCTGCAGTGGAAGGACTGCTCTTGTTTCCAATGGTAAGTCGTGGCTTTTCTGTTGAGTCATTTTTCAATTGAGAAAGAACTTATCACAGTCTTGGTGATGGTTCTTATGGACATTTGCCTTTCAGCAGCAATTTAATAGTGGCCATATGCTTTCACAGTCTTGCGTTTGCTTAAGGTCTGACCCAATTTTCATTGGATTGAACACTATAAATACTGATTTTGCATACAATCTTTCAAAGAAATGGAAATTACTTTGGCATAGACAAGCAAGTTGTAATTTTAATAAATTATTTTTCTTTTCCTGCTTCTGATTTCATAATGTGTTTCCATGTGGCCAACTGAATGCACAGGCATTTTCCTGTTGTTTGTTGAAATTTGATTTTTAGTTAATGAATGCATAAGATTTTGACATCTTTTCCTGCCATAACTCTGTAGAGCCTGTCCAACATGTCACCAAGGTTATTACTTGGAAGAGATCAACATCATCTCGGTCATCTTCATCAAGGAATGCTTTAGCCACTGCATCAAAAGATGATGCTGATGACAGTGGAAGTGATTTTATTGAAGAGATTTGCATGATTGCAGGAAGCCATTCATCCACATTGGACAGACTATATGCATGGGAAAGAAAACTCTATGATGAAGTAAAGGTACTGAAAATCAAAAACTCTCTCAGTACACATGTATTGATCTAATGTTGCCTGCTCTTAGTGCACTTGGATACATAATTGCAAAACCCTCAAAATTCATGACCTTTTTCTCAATGTTGTGGGTACTATATTTTGTTAATCAAAACCTGAATTTAGAGAGCATTTCAATTTTGTCTTATAAGCTTAATAGTTGGGTTTTGACACCACATCTTGGAGTGCAAACTACTGTTCTCTTGATTATACCTGAAAATTTTTAGGGTGTAAAATGGCATGTCAAGTTCTTACTTCATCATTAAATTTTTTGATGAAAATTACATTATTGAATTTTAAGTCTTGAAGATTTTATGAATAAGAAGGGCCAATACAATTTTAAAAGGAGGATTGCATTTGCATGATTCATTGTTTGATTATATTATTTAAAGAGGAATATGAGATTAGATCCTTATATCTTCTAAGTTGTATCCTGGTACCATTTGTCCCAAATATAAAAGCCCATCATAAAACCAGCATAGTTTAGCTAACATAATTAACTTCTCCTATGGTCTTTGTAGCTCTTTCTTTATCTATTTTCTTATACTGCAGATACTTCAATGCTTCCTTTGATATATAACACGACAGGAACAGTTAATATAAGATACATTGTTCCACATCCGCATTCTTTCATCATAGGTTGACTGTCTACATTTTCTCCTTTGCCAAGAAATTAGTGCTTTATTGATTCACAAGTGGAGGCACAAATTCTTTAGCATAACAAAGACCAGATGCCATAGTTTTGTTCAGAAACCCAGTAAACACTATTATTTTCCAATCCAAATTTGATGGGACCATGTGAAACCATTCTATAAGACAGATTTTGGAACAATTTGGCTGTGCTTCATTCATGCCTAAAAACCAATGAGAGGAAGTAGTGAGGGAGATCATGTTCTCTTTCTACATTTGCTTTCTCAATTTTCAGTAATTGACCGCCTACTTGCCAGTTGCTACTGCTTCTCTGGGTTGAAAATTCCCTTTATATGTGATGATTTTAACATACTGGTTACTACCTTTATGATATAAATATCTGATTTGTTCACATCTCTGCACCCCTTAGGCTAGTGAATCAATAAGGAAGGAATACGAATGGAAGTGTGACCAGCTAAGGCACCAGTTTGCAAAAGACCATGCTGCTCCAGCAATTGATAAAACCCGGGCAGTTGTGAAGGATCTACACTCACGAATAAAAGTAGCACTTCATTCTGTAGATTCCATATCAAAGAGGATTGAGAAAATGAGAGATGAAGAGTTGCAGCCCCAACTTTCAGAACTCATTCAAGGGTAAGTGAAGTTTGATTCTTCCTAATCAGAAAATTTTTTGGTCATCTCACCCTTTAGTCTTCAGAACCACTGGGTATCTTTAGCTCATCTTGGAAGTCATATATCTGTGTTAAATAGCCACTCAATACTGTATTTATGATGATGACGTTGCAGATTGATCAGAATGTGGAAAGCCATGCTTGAGTGCCATCATGCACAGTACATAACTATCTCACTGGCATATCATTCAAGGAACTCAACAGGTACACCACTGGGAGATACCCGAAGGCAGATCATGGCTCAGCTCCAGGAAGAGTTCGAATGCTTTGGCTTGAGTTTTACAAACTGGGTTAACAGCCATGCATCTTATGTGGATGCTCTAAACAATTGGCTGCAAAATTGCATTCTACAACCACAGGAGCGTTCAAAGAACAGGAAACCATTCTCCCCTCGTCGTGTGCTGGCACCACCAATATTTGTTCTGTGTCGTGATTGGTCAGCTGGTATCAAGAACTTACCATCCGAGGGACTTACTGATTCCATAAAGGCTTTCTTGTCCAATCTATCGGATCTAATGGAGCAACAAGAAGAAGTAGTGCCAAAGAAAGAGAAATTTGATGATGCAGGCAATGAGGAATCAGAGAGCAAAGATTGCTATAGAAATGACAACGTATCTTCAAACTTGTGCTGCATGCAAACTAGTTTGTCTAAGGTGCTTGATAGACTAAACAAATTCTCAGAGGCGTCCCTGAAAATGTACGAGGATGTCAGACAGAAAAGTGAAGCTGCTCGTGTTGCATATTCAAACTGCAAACCAGCTAGATCTTAAAGGCTATGTGATTATCAAATGTAAGTTTTTAATAAGTTTTGGTATGGAAATAGATATTTGTAAATCTGAAAGTGTTGCAAATAGCTTTCCTGAAGAAATTTGAACAAATATGTAAGTGGTGTGACAAATACTGCTATCGTTAGTGAGCTGGAGAATTTCATCTACAAGATTCGGTTAAATGCTTGCAATTTCTGTAACTTTGTAATATCATTTTTTTCACAGGTACAATTTGAGGGTAGGGGATGAAAAATTGTAGTATGATACTATGGTTGTGTTATGGTTCGAACTTAAGACATTAATACATAACTTATAAATGCACTTAATAATTGACCTATAAGACTTAATACATAACTTATAATATTTGTAATAATTGGTAAATGTGATTTATGTTAGCTAATAATTCTGCCCCAAAAGATAACAGATTGCCATTCTTCCATAGAAAAGAATAAGCCCCCGTCCCCCATCTAATATCGAGAGAGTTTATTCTCTTATTCAAGAGTTAATTTATTATGATTTAGTACAGTTCAAACGATAACAAACATTTATAAAAAATTTATTGTTGATACATGTTTACAATTGAACGCTATCATATCTTTGTAGAATCCAATGGTTTGCTCAATCAGCATAGTCAATTGTCCGTTGTTCCCAAAAAAAAGAAAAAAGAAAAAAGGTGGAAACTGGAAAGAGGTTTGAATGCCCGCGCGCTCTTTTTGGTCGCGGGTCGGGTTCGGATTTGCACGTGGTTCCCGCCTCAACAACAAAATTCAACCCTCCTTTCTATTTTGTTATCGGTTTTGCTGGAGGCGCCTTACCTAGTTCCCATCAAATTTCACCTTCCCGAATCTCGCTCTTCATCTCCGGTCAGTATCTCTAAACCCTTCAACTTTTTCTCTGTTTCTTTTTTCAAATTCTAGGGTTTTTATTGTTTACTGCTTGCTTTTACCATCTTACATTTTGCTTCCTTTTTCTCCTTACTTGAGTGGGTCTTAGTTCCCTTTTAAAAAAAAAAAAAAAATTTTTTTTTTTGATTGATTTCCTGGATCATCCGAGGTTGAATAGGAGAAATATACTTAATTGGCTATCTTGGTTCTTAGATTTCATACAAAAAATATATATATATATTTTTTGGTTGTTGAATCCACAGTTAACGATGAGTGGAGACAATTTTAGTGATGGGTCATGCCGAACACGCCCTGTTCTAGGAGATATAACAAATCGGTCAGTCAAAAGGAGGTTTTTTTCAGTTTCAGGTGATTTAGGGTTGAAATCAAGAGATGGGTATCACGAGAATGCGGAAAATGAACATGGAGAATTACAAATTGCGAAGCAAGTATGGCTAGGTGTCGAGAATTTAATCAGAGAAAAACGTACACACCAACCTAGAGTAGATTGCTCTAGTGAAAAGCAGTCTTCTGATTCTTCACCTACTAAAATGGGTCTAACTGATGCTTCTGCCAAGAATATTGCCTCTATTGATGGGGGGAAATCTGATGAGAATATGAAGACAACATCTTTGTTGGATGGCAATACAATTGGGCATGGTGTTGCGGAAGAAGAAGATGCATCAAGGGAAGATTGTTTTTTTAGTGGTTTGCCTGATAAATGCTCTCAGACATGCCAGAAAAATGGTGACAAAGAACCAATTCTTGTTTCTAGTACCAAAGAAAGTAGTATTTGCACGAGTGAAGCATTAGACGGTATTGTTTTTGAGAATGATGGTAAGGATCTTGGTGTTGGTAGGTTGGCCTCAGACAAAGGTGGGTCAAGTGAGTTGTCAAAGTTGCATAAGACACCGAGTTATAGATCACTTGAATTGGATAGGTGTGTGGGGATCAAGAACGATGGTTGCACAAATTTGAATTTGGATGTTAAATTGTTTAAAGCATGCTCATGTTCATTTTGCTTGAAAGGTAACCATCAATTCCAAGTTTGCTTGTCATTTGCTATCTCTTCACATGTAGGTAGTAGTTTTATATTTCATATGTGTTATCTAATTGGCTTGCTTTGTTTTGTGTTCTGATAATCAGCTGCGTATATTTGGTCAGACCTCCACTACAAAGATATAATGGGTCGTTTAGATGGTAACTTTTTACCATAACATCTAAATTACCCCTTTACCATAATGCCATTGTTCTCATGATGTAGCATTTTCTTTTTCTTAGTATTGGAGAAAAGTCAGAAGGAAGCAGGCATCTTGGCTCAGAAAAGTGGAAGAGAAAAGCAGACTGATGTTCATGGCCTAGGATACAATAGCCAATCTTCAAAATTAGAATCTGACCTCATGAGTCAGTGGAGGTTATTCTTTCTTAAAATGGAGGATATATTTGTTCGTGAAAGCAACCAGCTTGTGAGTTTAAACTATTGTTTCTCAGACTTGCCACTTGCGATCCTTATTTTGATTTCTTTTATGTAGAACGTTTTGTTTATTTCTGATCCAAAATATTAAATGAATGACCTAATTAAAGAAATCAGATTGATATAGGAAGCTTAAGTCCCTTAGCTCATCCCAAGGGTTTAGTTAAAACCAACTGTAGTGACTTTTTGATCCTTGATCTATTGGTTGTTTAGGTTCATTTTGAGTCATCTCCACAACTGATTCTTCACTGACATTGTTCATGTCTGCTTTTACTGGGGAAAATGTTTTAGCATTTTTTTAGTTTGGATATTGATATGACTTTTCTTATTTACTCATATATGATTGGATGTCTGTTTGGCAGAAAGCCAGTTGCATTACACTAAATGATTTGAGAGAAGAATTGCTAGATGGATCGCAAGAGGGCTGCAAAGACTGACAAACAGTAAAGTTCGCATTTATGATCTCTGTTTTAGGATTTTCTTTTCATTCTAGTTCTAGTTTGTGTTTGTATATGAGCACATGCTTGTACCTTTATCATATTCTAGGTTCTTGTTAGCAAGATTTCTCTATGTACCTCCCCATTTCTTAGCTCTATCTGTAATAACTTTTTTTTTATGCAATATGTGCCAGAACAAATTTCCATCTTAGAGGATGAATATTCTGCATATCATTTCCTTTTCTCTGATTACCTTGGTTTACCTGGTTTATTTATTACATTTTGGTCAAACCTAAGGCTAATTTGTGTGTATTCCATCTACCTTAGATCTCATAAGATTGTTGAGTTGTCATAAGATTGCTGTATTTAAAAATTATGTTGAAATGGGCTTTGGCATACCATGTAGGCATGTACTGCTGTAGCAAAAGCTATGATTTTTTGTTATTTTGCTTGGAAAATTGGAATCAGCCTGGCTCTGCAGTTGTCATCCACGTTAACATCAAGGAGAGTAAACATGTTTGTGAAAACCTTATTTTTTAGGCATCATTCTTCAGGGTAAGGATTGAAATCGCCTGCATGTAATTGTTCTCAGCTAGCACCTGTTCCAGTAGAAATTTTAATTTCAAAATGTTTAACGTATCAGGGTTAAGAAGGGTAGTTAGTAAGAGACTATAGGCGTTGATGTTTAAGTTGATACCAATTTAAATTTTTTCTAGATTATACATACTGCTAAAAAGGGAGAAATTGTGTGCAATATGGAACTTTTATGAGCAGTGTTACGATTATTGGGTTGAAGTATGATAATAGTGTCACTGTAATATCAATTGAATTGCTTGTGCTATTCAAAAGAAAAAAAGAAAAAAGAAAAAAACCAATTGAATCGCTTGCTTTCATAGCTTATGATGGATGGTATCTTGAAGATTGAACCAGCTTCGTTTTGTGATGCTTTTGTTTGAGAGGTGAAGCAACCATTGTATATAGCTTTGCTTGGGTAAGTTAAGAGTGCTTGTTTCCTGATTACTTTTGCGTACAAAAGCTTCAAAGGCCTTTGTAGTAATCAACTTGCAAGCAAATTGTGGGTACTAAAACCATGTTATACATCAAAATCTGAGGTTTGGATGAAGGTTTAGAATTCAATAGGGATAACTAACCATCCGTGAAGTAACTCGCTTTCTATTAATCATTTTATTTGGATATTATCATCAAGATTTTGAAAATCGGACTGGATCGGTTGGTTGAATCGGTTGAACTAATATCTAGTATAAGAAATGAGTTGATTGAATATTTTAAACCGTTTAAGTTATTAAACCGCTTAAAACCATTCAGACCATTCAAACCAGTGAGAACCAATAACTCATCAAACTGACTGGGTCAACTCTAGGGACAAAATTCTCACACATTTGTCTCCACTAGGTTTCAAACACCAGGTTTCATAAAGGGTAAGCCACCTTGTGTCTTGTGAGATAAGTTGCAAAGAATATCTTTTAAAGAATGTTATAAAGATTTTAAAAGAAAAATGAGTTCGATGAAGTTTAAACACTAGTCCTCTTTGATGCTCAACTAGATTTGTGCCATTTGATTTGATTAAAATTTGTTGTCAAACTATACATTATAATAGATTTATTGTAGAATTTCATAAATTGAATAACTTTGTCATTGGTAGGATTCGAACTGTTATTCTTTCCAATAAAATTAAAAGTTTTAACCACCAGTGCCACAAGTAATTCTTTGACATAAGTTGCATTATATTTAATTTAATATATATGTTCAAAATTTAATCAACTCGGTTTTTTAACTGGTTAAATCGATTGAACCATTAAAATCGTAAATCAAAAATCAAAATGATTTGATTTCCTGTTCAATTTTGAAAACATTGATTATCATTACTCAAATTTAAGACCGAGAGAAAAAAGATGTTACAATTTTATTATAACGTCATTTAATAAAAAAATCCTGTGTCATAAGAAGAGGTACTAGAATTTTAGTCATTTCAATAGAACTGTAGGAGAGTACTAAACTCATAATTCCTAAAAAATAAATTTTAAAAAAGCCATGTCAATTGTGGGTTCTCCAAATAGCACCGAGGGGTACATTGCCTCAATCTTTTACATCAATTGTGATATGACCTGACTTAAACAGAAGGTGATGGGAAATGATATATTATACCGAATAACTCAATAATTTCTCATTCAAATATCATTTTGACCATGTGAACTGGTTATGCAAACAAAAACATTTTAAAGATTAATTAAAATAATCAAATTCGTAGAACATTGCATTTTTGTTTTCTTTATATATATAGTTCGATGACAATACTTTCTTGTTATTTTTTTTTATTTCTTGATTTTTTTTTATCTAATATAGTTTGAAATAATCAAACTGTGTTGTTTCTTGATTTATTTTCAATAGGAAAGATAATTCATGAATATATATCAATTCAGTTAAATCATATTCATTTGGAATTCTCTTGAACCATCCAAAGCCAAATTTGACTTCGTTATTCCAATTTCAAACCGTCCCCAACCTTCATTACCATTCCTATCCCATCATTCATTTTTGAAATACTTGCTTTCCTCTCTTTATCTTGTTTTTTCATTTCAAATATGAAAAATTTTTTGCTAGGGAAAATTAGCCCTACGGATTCAACCTTTGCCATTTGAAACTTGACAAGATCTTAATAATGTGTGCATACACACATATATATAGAAATGATTTACTTATATATAAGTTTTACACATTATATTTATACAAAATCTTAACCATTTATCTCTTCACGTTTAATGGTTAAAATTTATTATAATTTTTTAGATCTTTAATAAATATAAATAAATGTCAATCATTAAACGTGAAGAGATAAACGATTAAGATTTTATATAAGTGCAATATATAAGACTTATGTTTGAGTAAACCTCTCCTCATATATATATATATATATGTGTGTGTGTGTGTGAATAGTATAAGGTAGGTCGTCCTTTTAAAATTTTTTTGGGACTTGTTTAAAAATTCATATTTTAATTAATATTTTCAAAAACTAACCATTAAATTAAAAGTTTTATTTACATAGATCATGCATATCAATTTTCATATTAATTTAACATTTATTAGAACTCTTTGATCAAAGCAACTTTATTTATTGATATATATATTTAATGTTATTAAATTTCTTGTACTCAATGAAATGGTTCAACTTATAAGATCAACATGAAAATTTACATCTATGATCTATATAATAAAACTTTCTAATAGTTGCTTTTTGAAACTATGAATAAGAAGATGAATTTTTAGATGTATCCTCCAAAAAATATTTAGGAGGAGGACGACTTGCAAAACACACACACATATATGAATAGGGATTCACTTACATACAAATTTTACATACCACACTTACATCAAATCTCAACCATTCATCTTTCCATTTTCGATTGTTGAGATATATTCACATTTATTCAAGATTATTTTTTAAAAAGAAAAAGTTATGATAAATTTTAACTATTGAAAGTGAAAAGATGAATGATTAAGATTTTGTGTAAATGTGGTATGTAAGATTTGGATAGGAAAGATACCTCTATACATACATACATATATATATATATATATATATATATTGCATAGTGGTCTCAACTCCAAAAAGAAAAAAAAATAGTCTCAACTTCAAAAATACCACTATCTAATGAATGTTTTCAAATGCTAACCATTAAATTTAGTGTTTTATTTGTATAAATTATATATATATATATATATCAATTTTTAAATTGATTAAATATATATAGCTTGTTCATTAATTATAGAAAATTTATCACCATTAAATATATATTAAGAGTACAAAATTTTTAATCAAATGATTATAAATGTTAAATTAATTTATAAATTGACATACATAATCTATATCAATAGAATATTAAATCTAATTATTGGTTTTTGAAAATATTTATCGGATAGTGATTTTATTAAAGTTGAAGTTCTTTTAAAAAAAATTAAGATTGATATATATTTTTTGATATATATATATATATATATATATAAAATGTTCATGACAACAAGGTCAAATAGATAAGTAAGCATATGTCATGAATCTCGTGGTAATGGGCATCGTTTTCGCTAAACCTAATTCCTTACAACTTACAAATCATGGCAATGACTGATTTAATTTTATAATTAAAAGTCATGCGCCATATTTTAGCCAGCTGGGTTCTATATCATTATCCATCATCTTGGGTCCATAATTTCCAGTACAATTGATGAGAGTTGACAAATTGTCCAAGTCAACTAATTATCAAATCATTTTCATCTATTTCATTTAATTTTGAATTATTGGAGATAGAAATTGTTAAAATTGTTTGTTCAGTTAGTGGGCACTAATGGAGAATGCTCATTGGGACTTCGAAGATGTGATATTTAGGGTTGACTTCTTAATGTTTGGCTAGGTATATAGAATATCTAATGTATTTGCATACAGCTATACAAGCAACAAGATCAAAGATTGGACCTCTCACACACACTCTTCGAAAATAGGAGGACATTTGACATTAATTTTGAACCATGTGGAAAGTTCGTTGTGGTGGAGGTTTGGTCATGTTTTATTATTAAAACGTTTTAAAATCAGTCTTTATATATATTGAGATTAATATTTAAAAAGAAATTTAAAAATATACACTTATATTAATTTAGTGCATTTAAAGAAATTAATTTATTTTATATACTTAAATCCAACACTTGTATCGTAAGAGTTTGGTCCATTGTTAATATTTATAGGAGATTCTTTTCTTCTTTGCCAAAAATATTGGTTATGTGAACTCTGGTAGGCCTGCAACCTGACTAAGTTGTGAACACTACTGATTTTGTTAAAATTTTAATTTTATATGTAATTTTATTAATTTATAATTTTTTAAATA